ATATTCTAACGATTTTGAGTATGCTAAATCAGCATGTCATATGACAAACACAGCTGATATAAAGTCCCAGTCAAATGTCATGTACTACATTTTGTAGGCGGTGTAAGGCCACCAAAAACTAACTGGTATCTGGGAAGGGTATCTAACAGCCCTTTCCTCTTGCTAGTTATTCATACACTCAGATCATAAAGATGTGTTCTGATCGGGGATTTAGAATTTATAAGACAGGGATATCTCTTTTTACCTAATGGCACTGGAAAAAAAGGAAATATGGGGTAACAGGACCATCCAGAAAGACCGGTTACAAGTTGTACCCTATCCAGGGTAAGCAAAGCGCATCATTTTGTAACAAGTGAGAATCCATGAACACAGATTAGTGGTAAAAGAAGAGCATGTGTCCAAGGCAACAGTATGTAACATAATCAAGAAGGATCTCTTCTGTGTGCATAAACCTTCCCATAAACATCTGAATCCCCTTGAAAAGGTTTGTTTAAACATTTAAAGCACAATTTTATTAAAGTTTGCAGATAAAGACGTTTATTTTTAATACTTAGAAAAGTAGGATAGTAAGCTGCAGCATTCAGCGAAAAAAAAGTTAAACAAATATTATTTTAAACAGTAAACAACATTTATATAAAAAAAGTGTTGTAAAACGTTTTTCAAAAGTTTATTTTGTCAACGGTGGTAAATTGTAATAACCACTTTTTATCAAAAGTTCAGTTTTCAAGAAAACATGTATGTTTCTGAGGTATATGATTCTATATCATATTTTTTTTTAGAGGTTGTCCATAGAAGTTGTAATTATAAGATACTGAAGTGGAAAATTTTCAAAATTTAACAAAAGGAGCAGTTGTGTTGAATCTCTGAAGTCTTAAGACAGAATGGGCCTTTCATATTATCTATGTGGTGTTCGTTTCTTTGTAACATTATTTCCAACAATACTGTAGCATCTCACCTATATTGAGAATATAGCCAAAACCCGTCTTAAGTCTTTCGAACTTGAGTATTAAGTACGTGGTTGGCTAATTGCAATATATTACAGTTCAGTGCATAAATGAAGCAATCAGAGTTTTAAAGTAACATTTATATTTTCATTCATTGCAGATACAATTTTCTTATTTGTGTTTTTGTTTAAACATCATACCCACCAGCTTGCAATGTCAGAACAACACAATCAGGATCAAGTGACTTATTTGTTTTTCTCTACCTTTTTACTCTACTATCTGTATGCAAAATTTGTCTTATACCACATCTCACTCACTGTCCACAATTTGCCACATTGAAGTAATGTTTTTTGTTTATATCTGAGATAAGCGCTTTGCCCACTAGTTGTCAGCTAACGTATGACACTTACTGTAGCATCCTTCTGCCAACTAGTTGTCAGCTAACGTATGACACTTACTGTAGCATCCTTCTGCCAACTAGTTGTCAGCTAACGTATGACACTTACTGTAGCATCCTTCTGCCAACTAGTTGTCAGCTAACGTATGACACTTACTGTAGCATCCTTCTGCCAACTAGTTGTCAGCTAACGTATGACACTTACTGTAGCATCCTTCTGACAACTAGTTGTCAGCTAACGTATGACACTTACTGTAGCATCCTTCTGCCAACTAGTTGTCAGCTAACGTATGACACTTACTGTAGCATCCTTCACATTGTGGCTGAAGGAGTTTAAATGCTGAGTACTGCTGAAGAAATTAGTTAGCTGGAACACAGTTTAATGTCTTTTAGACTTTATAAACCTGTTGAAGTTTCTTTGCCCAAGATTAGCCAGTAGGTTACGTTAGTCACAAATTTTACTAATGGCTGACACATATTTTCACCTGCCATTTTTGGTTGATGGATGAAAAATATCAAAGAAACAGTCTTCCTTAACAGCACTCCTACTACAGTCCAGAGATTCTCACAATTTTTTTTATGATTTTCATCTAAAGGTTTTGGAAGCATTTGTGATATGGAGAAGGGAAGTGAACAGGGTTTGGTTTGTTTGGAATTTTGTGCAAAGCTACACGAGGGTCATCCACATTAGCTTTCTCTAATTTAGCAATGACATAGAAGATGGAAGACAGCTAGTCATCACCACTCACTACCAACTCTTGGGCTACTCTTTTACCAATGAGTATCGGGACTGAACATTATGTTATAACGTCCCCGTGGCTGAAAGGGCGAGCATGTTTGGTGGGGCAGGGATTCGAACCTGGAACCCACAGATTATGAATCGAGCACCCTAACCACCTAGTGAACAGAGAAGAAAGCCAACCAATTAGTTCAGCATTGTACACATACACGTACAGATTCTTTTGCACAGTCACCTAGCAACAAGCAGGATTTAGCTGTTCCACTTCAGCAGGAGCCAAAGGTTGTTTTCATTAACAAGTTATTTGATCATATTCTCAGTAGTTTCCACCACTCGTTGCAAGATGTACTTTATGTTCAACTGGAAATAAAGGTAGAAAAAGGCAACTACTATAAACATGTGTTAAACAATCATCTTTCCATATTTATTGGAAGTCCCTTAACGAGTATTAATTACATAAAACTGAAAAGTGATGGCTGGAACTTTTCTCCCTAAAGATGTGAAGAAAAGAGACTTCAACGACAAAATAAGTGAACTGACCTTTTTGTAACATCTCCAAAAAACATTTCCATAAGCATTTTGGATCATTTAATAACCATAATAAACAATGTTTTCTTTATGAAACCTATGTTAAGTTGGAGAGATTCTTGCTCTTACCTATTGTCTTGCAAAACAATCATGATATGACTACATCTCTGCATTTATAGAGCTAAAGCATAGTATAGCTTGTATAGGCAAACACAGGGGGTTTGTGTATGGAGCCCCTAGTCATCAAATAATACTTTATATTAAAGCTTCAAGTTTATTTGTGCTATTTGTTTTATGTTTTATTTAGTTTGTAGTATGAATACTTTATACACTGAATAAAAACATTAACTTACCCTAAAAATAAACTGAGGCATATGTTTATTATCTATAATACAAGACTCGAAAATTTAAATTTGCTGAATAAAATTTGTAATGTTGCTGTGTTAAACTGTGTCACCTCCAACAGCTAACTACTATTGTTTGCATGTTATGATGTATACGCTGTTCTTTCTTTAATGCTACTTTCATTTACTGTATTTGGTTAGAATAATTAATATATCTACTTTTATCATTTTTTATTATTATTATACTTTTATTCTCAAGACTAATCAGTCCTAACTACGTATACTAAGCTAACATTGCAAATTTGCAATGTTAGCATAGTATATGTAGTTAGGACTAATTTGAATCTTCAAAACTAGCCAAACCTCATTGTTTCCATCCTGAGAAGCTCCTGGTACACCAATAGCCTGAAGAGCTTCTTGACTTTGGGCTTTTCGAAAAGCAGTCTATACACAAATATAAATAAATATGTGCACTATAGACTTACACGAACATACATATAAGAAACAAGGTATATTACACATATTTAAACAGTTGTAATTGTAGTTAAATGACAACTTATAACACACTTTTTAAAATTTGCTGTAGTATATTCATGAGCTAATGAAACCTTGGCTATAAAGAAAAAAAAAAGTAATAAATTAGTGAGTATATATTTATTACATTTACCAATAAAATGTTAACTTTATTATGTTAATTAACAGAAAATCTTTCATCCTTAAAAAAACAACAAAAAAAGTTGAATTATAGTACTATATTGCTATATAAAATGTTTCATGTTAGTGCCATTTATAATGTTACACTTTAAAAACAATATATATATATATATATATAAGTATGCAATATGATCAGCCATGTGTGTGTGTGTGTGTGTGTGTGTATATATATATCTGTTCCTTATATGTTTCCACATTTCTTGATCAATCAGCAACTAACTTGACACAATGACACAGGATGACACGAGGAAAAAACAAAAACAATTGTACGTTTCCCAAATGTTTCATTTATTAAAGACCATGGCTTTGCCTGATGATGCCTTTACTGGTGAAACCATGGTTGTTAATAAATGTTTTTGTTTTTCTACGGTTTTGTTTATATTTTGAATTCATCAGCCTACAGAGGTTCTTGGTTTATTAAGACAAGTTAATAATCTTAAAATATTTATACAAAAAATGCAAAATAAAGAGTATTTTAAAATGTAGGAAAAAACTGGTTGAATTAAATAACTTAAGATGATATCAGGTTAAAAACTTATTTACAGAACAAACTGATACTGTAATTTTTAAACACTCTAGTTATGTATTGAACAAGATGGTACTGTAGTTTTTAATCAATCTATTTATGTATTGAACAAGTTGATACTGTAGTTTTTAATCAATCTAGTCATGTATTGAACAAGTTGATACTGTAGTTTTTAATCATTCTAGTCATGTATTGAAGTTGATACTGTAGTTTTTAATCATTCTAGTCATGTATTGAACAAGTTGATACTGTAGTTTTTAATCAATGCAGCTATGTATTGAGTGAAAGTAAAAAAGAAAGTTTTGGCTCTTGGTTTAAAATTCAGTAGAGCAAATAAGTTAAATTATGGAAATTTCTTTCTAAATTGGTGTAGCTATGGGTTTCTCGTTCAAGCTAATCTTCTTTGTTTCAACGAAAAACAATGTCTATAGGCCTCTCCAAATTCTTTTAAATCACTATACTATTGGAGGTACGTGGATGACATTTGTACTATTTTCAAGGAACCCAGATCATCTTCTTCAGTTTTCGTAATATTTAAGTAGCACGTATAAGAGTAAAATATTTACTGCTGGACACATTAGCTCATAGCTGTGATGGTACCTTTGAATGTGAAGGCAACCTTAAAAACAAAAAGCTAACAGATTTATATTTTTAGAAGGTATACACTAACTGTGTTTAAAGAAAACTTGGAGAAGGTCTAAAATCACAATCACCTAAAAATGTTTCCATCAAATCGTTTCTACACTTAAATCATGATTATTTGAACAAATGAAACTTTAAAATACATATATATACAACAGAGATGCATTTTTTAAGCTATGATGTTGTCTGCACTGCATTACCTCAAATAAAAAAATCACATTTCTTCATCAAAATGAAGTTTATCAATTTACATGTCCTTGTTGCAAGCAAGATAACATCAGTTCTACTATAATAATAATGCAACCGACACGAGTGAAAGAGCATGCAAATTTAAGAATAAAGTGTATTGGAATACGCCCTAACCATTTAACTTAGTACTCAAAACTAACCTGTTTATTCTTGTTGCTTTTCTTCAAGATACTATTGACTCGTTCTTTAAGGGCAGAGTACACCAGTTCTCGGTTTCTGTTAGATGTCTTATTGAAATGATTTGGAACCTTCGAAAGAGCTGATATTATTTTTTCTTTATCACTTGCATCTTCATTTTCAGTTTCATCATCTCCTAAAGTACTAAAAGCCTTTAAAAAATCGAAGAATACTTATAAATAAAAAACAACATTTTGACAAGAAAGATTCATAAATAAACTGCTTCAACAATGGGTAAATACACCATACAACTGCTTCAACTAAATACAGGATATGATACAGTATATGTATCTTCATGAAATTTGGCAAGCTTTCAGTAAACATTACAAGTCTTTTGTACATAAAAAAAATCAAAATTTCTAATTAAGTTTTTTGCTAAAAATGAATGATTCAATAAAGGAAGATCAGTATTGAATACTACACGTTGTCTTCATTTCTTTTATCAAAAATATTACATGCAGAGTAATAAAACAAATTAACAATAACAAAATAGATAGACAGACATTAACTTTTGTTTTTATTTTACTTCTCTTGCCAGCTGCCATTTAGTTGATCAAACCTGAGAATTTGAAAAAGCACTGTAAATTGTGTGAAGTACTTAAATAAGACAATGTTAGTAATATAGATAATAAATTACAGACAAGACTATTAAACTTTGTAACAAACCGTTGGTAAAACTTCTGTATCTGGATACGTATCGTATCATGGCATCAACATCTAGATATGTATCATATCGACTACTATGATGAGATATGCACCCCTAATAATTACACACAAGCTAGAAATATTTAACCAAATGTGCACGAGGTTGGTCAATTAGACCGATTCTATTGGAGAACGAATGCTGGCTATCATTCTGAATTTACTATGTGTACCTATATGAAATTAAGGAAGTTTTTAGTAAAATGTACAAGTTCCGTCATCGACAAAGAAATTAGATGCGTTACTGAATCATTTCAACTCAAGATATGTGAGTGAATTGATGTTTTCAGTCTGACTTATGCTCTGACAAGTAAGAGTACAAATTGATGTTCATGCGAAGAATAAAAATACTTTTGTCCATCTTACAGTTTTCATAGCCTCTCGAGCCTCTAAAAAAAAACCATATCTACAGTTTTTTTCCAGTATCTGGTAATTACCCTCCCCTACCATGAACCGTTGTTCAATCAACAATACATAGTAAAATGATTAGTTGATAACTCTGACATCCAATACCTAATACCATGTTGAATGTCACTGTGTAAAATATCGTGGCATGTGCCTTTTGTTTCCACTCGTGCATTTAGGGTAAAAGGAAGTACTTTTTTACCATGACACCTGAAGGTTAAATTATGTACGAGAATACAAAATTAATTATCAAGATGCTAAGTATTTAAAACTTACTAATTATATGTAGAAGTCGTTTCAAAAAAAATATTTCTTGTGACTAGTGACACTAACAGTCTTAATGCTAAACGCAGTACCGATGACCTTTTTTCTAGTTTTTACTGAGGGGCTTTCTCTTGTATGATCACAAATAATTAATAACGTTTTTCAACATTAGAAAATATAATTTTTTGTAGTTATAAAATGCTAATATTACATTTTCACCAAGTTCATTATTGAACAGTACCACGCATCTAAGTATGCTCAACAGCTACAGCTTTACAGTACCTGCAAGGTTTCTTCAGGAAGATGGGTCTTCAAAGACTTGTATCTCTGTAAAACAGCATTATCTGTTCGGCCCGGAATGTTTCTAGCAATTTTTGCCCAATTACCTATTCAAAGAATATACAAATTTCAATGTGCATGCTTTGATCTGTCTTTTCAAATACAATGACCATTTTAAAACTAAACTATGAAAGCATTATTTTATTTAAAAAAATAATTAAAAATTTAGCATTATCGATGTGAATTCATATAAATATGTATCATTCAAATGGTCGTCAGGATCCAGTTTGTTTATGTGTATATCAATATTTCCATTTTAAGCCTCGTTCACTGTTTATCTTTTTCTGCTTTGACAATAGTTCTCAATGACCTTTATTTTTATTTGTTAACAGGATATACTTATTTATTCTTGGTAGATAATGTTACCAAGAATGATGAGTGTCATGCTTTGCAGCTGGATCCTATCACTATCACTTGCCTTCAACCTTTGGTACAACACCCGATGGAATACACCACTGATCCTTCGCAAAACAACAAATGGGGCATTGGCCATAATGTTACAATCATCTTCTAGATTCTTCAAGTTGCCCTAAAAACCCAGATCCATCTGTCCGAAGCATACAATTAACATGGGATTCATCACCAGATCCATCCGTCCAAAGCATACAATTAACATTGCATTCATCACCAGATCCATCCGTCTGAAGCATACAATTAACATTGGATTCATCACTTCACATGATGTTCTTTTTAAGCTCAAGGTACCATAACAGCACACACTTCACATTCACAGCTATGATGAGCAAACCATAAGACTTGGAGCTCATCCTTAAAAATCCAGTAGCATGGAGATGTGGTAGCTTGCAATCCCAAACAATATTCTACACTAATACATCCAGTAATTTTCCTTGTCTTCATCCAGTAGCATGGAGATGTGGTAGCTTGCAATCCTAAACAATATTCTACACCAATACATCCAGCAGTTTTCCTTGTCTTCATCCAGTAGCATGGAGATGTGGTAATTTGCAATCCTAAACAATATTCTACACCAATACATCCAGTAGTTTCCCTGTCTTCATCCAGTAACATGGAGATGTGATAGCTTGCAATCCCAAACAATATTCTACACCAATACATCCAGTAGTTTTCCTTGTCTTCATTCAGTAACATGGAGATGTGGTAGCTTGCAATCCTAAACAATATTCTACACCAATACATCCAGTAGTTTTCCTTGTCTTCATCCAGTAACATGGAGATGTGGTAGCTTGCAATCCCAAACAATATTCTACACCAATACATCCAGTAGTTTTCCTTGTCTTCATTCAGTAACATGGAGATGTGGTAGCTTGCAATCCTAAACAATATTCTACACCAATACATCCAGTAGTTTTCCTTGTCTTCATCCAGTAACATGGAGATGTGGTAGCTTGCAATCCCAAACAACATTCTACACCAATACATCCAGTAGCATGGATATATGGTAGCTTGCAATCCCAAACAATATTCTACACCAATACATCCAGTAGCATGGAGATGTGATAGCTTGCAATCCTAAACAATATTCTACACCAATACATCCAGTAGTTTTCCTTGTCTTCATT